GGAATTTCTCTCAAGAAAGGGATCTGTGATAGAATTTTGCAACTGCAACTGTAAAACCTGACAGCTCCCTCCACAGCTATAGACACCTTGCACATAGGAAGGATCAATGTAGGACTCTTGTCATCCTTTTTGCCTGTGCAGTGGCATGTCCAGTTACAGACCCACTGAGGCAGGATGAGAAGTTAGCCCCACAACTAACACAGGGTAAAAAAGCAGAAAAAAAAGGCATGGGAAAGAAGGAGGACGTTCAAATCTCCCCTTTCTAGATCACCCATTCCATTCTTAATAGGGGAAAAAAAATCATGAAACAGAGAAATGAGAGGTACCAGATGCTGAAGCCTTTGCCTCTGCAGTGCTGCTTCTGGTGATGTGCAGGGAACACAGAGCACATCCACAAAATACTGTGTACCTGGCACCCAGCCAGAGGCTGGAGCACTCTGATTTTAATGATGTATTTCATTCCCAATGATGCAGATCGGTTCCAAATGAGCTTTTCCCCCTTCCCCCAGCTTCATCAAACTGAAGCAGGTCCTTCTGAATGGAGTATAGCTGGATTGCAGTTCATGGGTGTAAAATAAACACCTGGAGGAAGGGTTACTGCAATTTCAGCTGTATTGTGCCTTTTATGCACTTCCAACACTTCTGACATGTTCTGCAGCCAAAGTGAAGCACTCCTTTCTCTGGACAGAAGCTTTGTAAAGGAGGATTCCAGAGAGAGCAAAATTTCAGGTTCAGGGTCAAAAAAACTGTGTGAAAATGGGGTGGAGATGTTGCCTGATACTGCAGTGTTATTTCCTGGGCTACATAGTATCTCATGGTCTCGAGGTATAATGGAACATGCCAATCTTCACAAGGAGCAAGAACGAAAAATATGACCTTTCTAGCCCTGGGATTTGCAAGAAAAAGCTTTAAATACAGCCCTTTCACATTCAAAGATCTACTATGAAAAGACAAAATCCCAGTTTAATACAAAACTATTGCTGCAGCAATCTCATGACTCTTTTAATTTGGTCTTTGTCTTGTCCACGTTGTTTTTTTTTAATATTTGGGATGGGGAATACCTGAAGTGAGAGCTTGCTTTCATGGTGCAGTCTCTCCAGCTGATTGTTTGCACTGCCAACACCACTGTGAAGTGCTACGTCTGCAGAGCTGGAGCCCGGATTAATTGCAAGGACAGGCTGCGAGCTTTACCCACACCTCCTGGCTGCCCTCTTTAATTTAAAGCAACTTTAAAAAAACAGCTGTGTCTTTATGAGAAAATCTTTGGCCCTTCACAACACACTGTTTCAGCAGTTTCATGCTCCCAAAGCCTTTAGTGTGCAGATTTTATTACACAGCTGGACTTTGAGGGTTCCAGGTTTTTCCCCACCAGGAGAAAAGAACATGTTTTAGTATGCAATTGACAGAGTTTTCATTCAGAAAGTGCTATTAAGCCTCTTCAGCTGGCTGATTAATTTGCTAGGAGAGACTCTTAGCTTCTAAAAAGCCGCACCAACCGCTTCAAGGATTTCTTCTTAAACAATCAATTGTCCTAGCTGGAACAAACTGCTTGTAGTTAAGTTCTTTAGCAGAAATGGAAATATCATGGGCAAGAAAAGAAAGAATTCCACAATTATGATTGTGATATTTTCACTGTGTGCAGCTTGTTCTGCAAATGGAAGATCTCCTCTGGTTTCTGCATAGTCTCTGTACTATCTGCTTTCTGGGCCATGAAAGTCAGTCCTTGCAAAGAATCGGATCAAATCAAAGCAAGTAGGATCTGATGTGCTTAGGGCTCTTTAGGTATGTTCAAGCTACATGATTGTGGCCTTTCCAGTAATGTGTGGCCTTCTGAACCATACCAGAAGGATCTCTTATCCATACTGGTCTGAATTAGAGGCTCAGGTTTTGTCTTATTCTCAGTTTGTTTCTATGAACTCTGTCACAAGACTTAAAGACCAGTCCATGCAGAACATCCTATAAACCCCATAGGTTTCAGTCAGCCTGGGTATTTTCCACAAGTTGAGACGTCAGTTCATCCTAGCTGCACGCAAGCCAACTTGTTTTTAAACTTAGCTGCGCATGCAAATGTCCTCCGGAACCACTCTGAACTTGCACAGGTGGGTCAGGCAGGGACATTGTACCTCACACACCAAACATGTCCTTAGCTGTCAGACTAAGGTAAGACTTTTTATTATCGCTTAAGCCTGAAATGCTTCAGGAGGACATAGGCAGAGCTGCTCAGCTCGCCCCTGCCCTCACAGAGCAGCTCCTTGTGAATGAGTAGGCACTTACTTGTTGCAGAGTTCCATCTCTGTCACAATGATCTCCTGGACATGCCAGAAAACATCAGCTTTTGCAGATGACTTCTTCCCATCTTTTGGGCAGTGACCAACACAGATGGCTGCAATATCACCAACATTCTTGGAAGAAAACTGAAATGTGTCTGTTGCTCCCCTACAGGAAACAGTGAGCAGTTTCAATATTCTGAAGGCTGCCAGAGACTTGTCTCATATGGACATTAAATAATTTGCATATGGCTATGGGAGATAGAAGATAAACCTTCATTTGCAGTCATTTGATTTAACCTGCAATCACTCAACACAAAGTATAATTTCCATATTTAAATTTAGTATTTTCTCTGATTAGGGGTGACACTTGAAATTGTTGCCACTAGGACTTTCCAGGATAAACTTGAGCTGTTCCACATAAAAAATCAATTTGCCTCATTATAGATAAAGCTAAAGAATGACTAATTTCCCCTCCAGCACTTATTCGTTCATTTTTGACAGATACTGTATCTTTTATACATCTACCCACCATAGCTGTTTTAAATTTGCTAGTTCAGCCACCCTTCCTGAAGCTCAGATTGAAAATAGTTTAGAAAAACAGTAGAATCATAGAATCTCAGAATGGTTTGGGTTGGAAAGGATCTTAAAGGTCACCTAGTTCCAACCCCCTGCCATTGGCAGGAATGATAGGTCTCTGTCAAACCTTGACCTGATCCCTGTCATGTCCCCTGAGTATCTGTTAGGTTTATTTCCTTGGATTGGTCCTTATTCCAACTTGCCTCCAAGGATAGACTGTAACTAATGCTGTGAAGAGTGGTGTCTAACTCCTCCGTAGACACCATCAGCTGAAGCTCAGGAGGAAGTTCCTCCCAATCTTTCATATTTCACATGATATCTCAGACATTCATATTACATTCCACAACAGCTGTAATTTCACCTTCCTTTACCAGAAAAACCTTTCCTCCCTGTGAAGCAACACAACATTAGCAGCATCCATGACTTTGATGAGGTTCCTGGGTCCTAAGGGCATGCTGTGTTCTTAAAGAAAAGCAGAAAACCCATCTCACACCTGAAGCACTTTGGTCTCACACAGGAGAAGGAATCTGCCCCACATTACATGGATGCGCCTATAGCTCATCTGCACATGAGGCTGATTTTCGGCTTTCCTCATGCAACAGTGATCTTGCAGCCTTGCCTGTGGATTTGTCTGGAAAGTCAAATCTGAGTAGCTCTGACATTTAGCCTCCAACTATTATTACTTTCTCTCTGATTCCCACTGCCAGTGAGATGCTGCAAAAGGAACTAAAACCACCTCCAGCTTCCTTCTGCTCCTCCCAGCTCAAAACCACACAGCCTTCCTGGGGGCTCACTAGAAGACCCTTTGTATGTACTGATACAAAAGAACACACACACACATACTCACATGCAACATCTACATTTCCTTTTATGAAATGCATTTTTCTTATAATTTTAAAACCTACTCTGTGTCTGTCCATCAGAAATTAATTTTACACCTTCCTGTTATCCAGGTAAGAAGGCATCAAGCTTTTGGAAAGGGGGTGAGAAGCAGCATGGCACAAACACAACTCTTTAAACCATCTCTAAACCATCCTGGGGAAGAGGATCTGTAACTTCTGTGGAGGGCAGACAACTGGTGCGGAATTCCTCTAGCCCATCATCCTGTCCTACTACCTTTCAAATCTCCTTTTCTTGGAGGAGTTTTCCATAAGGAATTCTTTCGAGCGGCCCATCTTTCCTTCTAAGATGATCCAGATGTTTTCCTTTGTATCTGCATCCTCTCTGTCGCTTGTTACTGTGACAATCTCATAGGCTTTAAAGCATAATTGACACACATGTTAAACAGAAAAGGAAGAGCAGATGGCCAGCAAATCATTTGACTGTCATTTTGCTTAAAATCTCCTTTCCTAATATTTATCACAGCACACAAGAAAGCATTTGCAAAATAAGGATGGAAAAGCACTGAAATCTGTGGGGGTTTTGACTTGTAAGTGCTTTGGGATAGAATACATGAAAAATATGACTCCTGCTTGATTGGGTAGCAAGAATAGATGGAGTTATTCTTAGAATCATAGAATACCCTGAGTTGGAAAGGAGCTACAAGGATTGTCGAAGTCCATCTTGAACAAGTATGTCCACCTCCATGCTGTGCTAAGCAGACCCTTTTTAACACAGCCCAAATCCTCCGTTATTTGTGCCACTGCTCCTAACACAGTAAGGGTATTAATTTACCCAACAGGATATTCTCAGATGCTGTGGTGGGCTATAAGTACCCAAAAATGGCTGGGTTTTTTGCAGGGGCAGAGTGAAATCACAGCAAAGTAATGTGATTATCGACTCTCCAGGACTCTCCTGAAGAAGAGCACTGGTGCAGGAGTTCTTGAGATGCACTTTGCATACATTCAGTGTGGTTAAATAACATTTGTTGGCTCTCTCGCTCACTACATCAGACACCAGGGTAATTACCTTGTACCCAGGGGGACTACCCAGAGTAGACCCAGGGCCATGCACTGTTAAGCTCAGCTGTTGCATTCAGCTGGGATAGTTGAGTTACTAGCCTAGAATGAGTTAAGGAGGAATCTGGAGCAATGTTACTTACAAAGCTTTAAGGATTGAACTTATTTTCCACCTCAAAGACTCAAGTGCATTACTTCTAATGAGATCATATCCATGTGTTCTTATGGCTTACTGCTGGATTGAACCACTGCAGATGGGTCCCTCTTAGGTTTCAATACAGAATGAGATCTTTTTCTTCCTCATAAATCCTGATTCATTTCTTTCTTGTCACAGCATTGCACTTTTGAACTAAAGTGTACATGAAATAATCCAATCCTTAAAGCCTACATGGCAACATTTAGTGGACCAGCTTGCAGGAGATGCGGTTCTGTGGTCTCTGGGGTCCCTCACTAAATGACATAAGACAACTTCAAACCTACCAGTCCGTTCCTTCAGTTCCAGGATGTCATTATTGGCACAAGCCAGTTCCCTTATGAGCTGCCCATCATCTTCACTTTTAGCAAGCCAGCGATCACATTGAAAGCGAAATGTCTTGTCCATGGCGGAATCCGTCACATCAATATATTCCAAGTGCCAGCCTGGTGCGATTCCTAGTAAAACAACAAAGTAAAAAGATTTGGATATTTGCACATAACTTGGGTAAGGAGAAGAGGTACCTTTCCTTGGTAGCACCATGGTGGTATTAGAAATTATAGAGTCATAGAATGTTTTGGGTTGGAAGGCACCTTAAAGTTCATCTAGTCCAGCCTCTGCAATGAGTAGGGACACCTTCCTGGCCCCATCCAACCTGGCCCTGAACACTTCCAGCAATGGGGCAGCCACAGATTCTCTGGGAAGCCTGTATCAGTGCCTCACCACCCTTATTGTAAAAGACTTTATCCTTATACCCAATCTAAATCCATCCATTCTCTGGGTAGCCTGTATCAGTGCCTCACCACCCTTATTGTAAAAGACTTTATCCTTATACCCAATCTAAATCCATCCACTTTCAGTCTGAAGTCATTCCCCTTTGTCCTGCCACTCCAGACCCTTGTCCAAAGCCCATCTCCAGCACTCTTGGAGACTCTGTAAGCACTGGAAGGGGCTCTAAGAGCCTTCTTGTCTGGAAGGCTCTGGAGTCTTCTCTTCTCCAGGCTGAACTCCAGCTCTCCCAGCCTGCCTCCATAGCAGAGAAGCTCCAGCTCTCGGACAATCTCTGTGACATCCTCTGGACTTGCTCCAACAGGTCTATGCCTTTCCTGTGCTAGGAACCCCAGAGCTGGATGGAGCTAATTAGTATTTGCTTCAGATAATATCCCAGTGAAACCAACACTCTTCTGATACCCAAACCAATGTTAACTTGCTCAAGACCATTATCTCATCCCCCTTCTAGAGTCAGGCCTTGCTTTTGAGGGAGCTGCTGGCTTTTGATCAGATATAAGGGTGTTGGAGCATGGTCCTGAATAAGCTGATTTCAGGCTTTCTGAGCTAGAGACCAATCACTTGTCCTTGCCCAGCACTTTGCACTAGACAGGGCTACTGCAATACCAGTAGTATCAGCAGTACACAAGGAGAGACAGGATCAGCATGGCCCCTGATACCATATCAACACAGGGACCATCGCACAAAGAAGAACTGCTCTGGCTCAGGAACAACAAACCCTTACAAAGTCCAGGGAAATTAGGGCATGGCAGAACTGTTTGCCAGAGCCAAAAACATGAAAACTCCAGAAGTCAGAGGTTTTGTGGGCAAAAGTTAATGGAGCACCTTCTGTCACAGAAACTGCTGCTGAATTTTCCTTCTCTTTCAAGGGAAACCTGAAGCCTTAAATAAGACAAAAGAAAGATATGAGTACAACCCTCCACTGTACGTGTCTGCAGCTATTGAGAAAGACAGTAGTATGCACATTATTTGTGGTGGTCCCATCACATTTTGAGACTGTGAGTAGGTGTAGGGTCTTTCTCTATGGCCTGTATTACCCTCAGACATTTTATTATTCAATCTGAAAGTCAGAAGGTAAAATACAACTTGCTTCTTTGACTTTTGTGGCTATCACATGCAAGGAGATTGACCATGCTATCCCAACCTTGCCAAGTAACCAGGATGAATTCACTAGTGCTGTGACTGGATATGAATATAGGGCAGACTAAAGTGATAGAAACTCCAGCAGGGACTACCAAATCAGCTAGCTTTTGCCTTGGGGTCTTCTGAGGAGTCACAACAACCTTATAGTTTTCTAATTCTGTTTGTTTCGGTTAGGATTTTTCCCACTGGAAAACAACTTAAAAATGAAGAAAAAACCATTTAGGAACATTTTCCTAATTTCCTTGTTGAATTGAAGAAGGCTTCATTGAGCTTGGTGGGGATGGGAGGTTCTGACAGTTCTACTTGCAAGTCCTGTTATTAGTCAGACAAAGGAAGGTTATATTCATGGTGAGACTTCTCTGCTAACTTATTTATATCCCAGATACATTAAATAGCTCTTGCTCTTCCAGAAATTCACTGCCATGTGCCTATTTCCTTAGTTTGCAAATATTAATCCTCATTACCCTTGGAAAGAAAGTGATGGCACCTTTTTGAGTTAAGTCAACAAGTCACCCTTCTTCTGTGGATTGTGATGCCTACACACCATGTGTTGGCAGTTCTCTACCAGCCTCACAGACACTGCTTTTTTGTACTTCGGCTTCCTGAACCTCTCCAAGCTAGGAAATTGCATGCTGCAAAGCACTGACCGAAGACACCACTTGCCCTTTAAATTTTAGGGGCACAGAACTGCAGAATCATTGTGGCTGGAAGGGACATCTGTAGAATGTCTACTCCAAACCCCTGGTTAGAGTAAGCTCAGCTAAAGCAGGCTCTTCAGGGCTGTGTCTGACCATGGTTTTGATATATCCAAGTATGGAGATTCCACAACTTCTCTGGGCAGCCTGTGCCAGAGTTTTACCTGTGCAGAGATTACAGCTTTTCTTCTTACACTGAAATGGAATTTGCTGTATTACAGCTTGTTACCAGACTCTGGTGAGAAGACTTTGGTTTCATCTTCTTTACTACTTTTGGAAAGGGGCTGCCCAGAGAAGCTGTGTCTGCCCCATCCCTGGAAGTGTTCAAGGCCAGGCTGGATGGGGCTTTGAGCAACCTGGTATCCCTGCCTATGGCAAGGGAATGGAACAAGATCGTCTTTAAAGTCTCTTCCAATCTAAATCATTCTGTGATTCTATAATTCTATCAAGTTCCTCAGGGCTCCCACTGTGCTTTAAGTGGAGCAACTTGCTCTTTAGAACTGTTTGGAAATTTATTCTAAACGTACTGGCAGTGTCAGCTGTTAATCTTTTGGTAGGCTCATTTTCATTTAAGTTCAATGTACATCTCTGCAGCATATTCAGGAGGCTGCTCCGCTTCCATCAAAACTTTAATTACAACAGTACAGCATGAAAGAAAGAAAACATCTCACCCTTCTCCAGTGAGAGACATCAATGGCTGTGGACCAGGATAGAATAAATTGGTAATCTTAGTTTGCCAGCAGTGACTGGATCAGTGCTAAGAGGCAGTATCAGAAGAGACTGAGTGAGATGCACATACCCTCCTATCTCTTCTCCAGCTTGGTCCCAGCCGGTGCTCAGCAGGGTAGCTGCAACAAAATGCTGCTCTTTTATCAGAGGGAGAGATGGGCCAGAGCTGACTTTTCAGCAGATCTTGGAGTTGAGGGAAAAGCAAGCACAAAGTACAGCTTTTCCTGCTCCTCCCCTCAATGATGCTTTTATCAGCTTTGGGCTATTAAAAGAGCAAACGCTGGGCTCTGTCTAGGATTGACACTGTAAAGCAAATATCAACAGCATGTCCCTGACAGTACAAGGCTACTTAAATTAAGGGGTTGGATGGCCACTCAGAAATATGGTGCAGCTGCCCCAAAACATTTTCCTCTCTGTTTTAATTTCTCTTCCCTCTCACCAAATTTTGTCCTTTTCTCATTTTCATTCCTGATAGTTAGCAACTTAAATTAGATTAGGAGACCTGGAAGCTCTAGAAGTATCCTTGTATTTCTTTTCATTTCTCAAGAGAAATAGTTCATCTCAGGTGAAAGCTGTACTTTCTACCTCCAGAGCTGCACATCTTCCCACCCTGTCCATATCCCATGTTGCCAGGAGTGGTGTCACATCAAGGGTTTTACTGCCATAGCATTAAACAACATTTAGAAAATGTTCATGCCTGAAGAAACTGTTTTACTTTACCAGAACAAGTACTCTTTTTCCTCTTGTTTCAGGCTGGGAAAAGACATATTACATTTCTTTCAGCATTGATCTGGAAAAGATTCAAAGGCCCGTGATACAAAGAGTCTAAATGCAAGACTTTCCCTCTGCTGGGCTGACTCTGTGTGCTGGCAATCACTTCAGTGGAAGGAGAACAAATGTTTGCAGGGCCACTTTTCAGGTCATGGAATCCTGGTTTCAGAGCATTACACTATTTACACCTCCTGCTCCTGTGTGGCTTTTGCAGAGCAGTAGGTTCAGAGACATTAGAACCTAAGCAACAACAGGAAAGGGAATTACATCCCATACAGATGTAATTCCAGAGGCCTCAAATCCTCAGCACAAGCTAGTTTATGGAGTAGCATCAGTGAAAGAGTGAGCAAGAGGAGTCAGAAAAGTGATGTGGATATTTTCCAAGTCTTGACCACCGTTCACACAGCCTGGCTGCACAGGACAAACTAGTGGATCTCTGCAGTGATGGCTCATCAGTCTTTCTCCTGAATAGTGTTAGATGGTGGATCCTGATTCGCCATGTAAGCTATAGCTGTTCCATCACTCACCTTTGGATACTTGCAGTAGAGCCAGAGCTCTGTACCCTGTTGCACCTTGAGCCAGGAGAACAAGGGCTCAGGAAAAAATCAGCTGCACAAATGTGTTGGAGAGCATTATGGGCTTTTCTGCAATGACCACAGTAGAAACCAGAACCACTAAATTTGTCTCCATTAGTGCTTTGGGGCAGAAGGGGAGAAATACCTCATATCTGAGCAGTTCCTGCTCGATAAAGCAAATCTTGGTCTTTAAAATAATTTGGCAAGCACTGTGCCTTCGTGAAAGGTCCCCTATCACCAAAACAAGTGTTCAGCATTTATAAAAGGAGGTATTTCACTCCAGGCCTATTTTTGCTGCCATTGAAATCCTCAGCAGCAAACCTGGCCTAATAAAACCCATGGCAGTGCCACATAGGCTCCTTAGAGGTCTGCAGCTAGAAGTGACATTTTCAATAACACGCAAAACATTTCAAATGTAATTAGAGGAAGAACAGAGCTGTGGGAAAAAAAAGAATCACTTTGCCTGCTTGACGCTGTATAATTTAATGCGATGTAGGGTAATGTATTCTCTTCCCCAAATGTCCTTATCCAAAAGAGCAGCTATTTGTCCTATTTATACTCCTTCCCTAAAGGGCCTAAGCTGGCCGCTGGGTGATGCTGGGCAAGGACCCTCTGTGTACACCTGAAAGGTCCATACAGGACCATCTTACCTTTCTCACAGGTGAAGGTAAAAGTCTGTGCTTTCCTGATGTTGGACTAGTCAGATTGTAAGCTCTTTGTCAAGCATTTCTATAGTGTTTAGCACAATCAAGCCTG